AAAAATTATAAGAAAGTATAAACAGTATAAAAAAGTATAAACAGTATAATATTGTCTACATTTACATTACAAGAATGTGAATAGGCAAACTTTTTAGGACTGTTTTGAAAAGTGTATGTGGGGGGATACATTAACACCAGATCTATGAATAAGTCTATGAAAAGTATTCGATTTTTGAGGAAGAGATATAATAAATTACTGAAATTAATGAATGCAATATAAATTTGGTTATTTTATTTTAATTTATTTATAAACACAGCACTTTTCACAAAACATTCAATACAGGGTAATACTTTATACTAACTTTCATTAATAAATCATAAACAATGTATAATGCTCAACAGATCATTAGTTAACATATATAGCTAGAAATATGAGCTAATGTGCTTGTTCATGTTTACTAATGTACTCATAAACATTACCTAATGATTAACAGATCATTATTTAATGTAAATTGAAATGCTTACAAATGTCATTAAACTTTCAATTCATATGATCATGTACTTTTTTAAACATCTACAAATGATTTTAACAGAAATTATACAATGATTACAAGCTTATTTGTTAATGTGTTTTTGATTAAACTTAAGTTCACATGTTACACAATGCTCTTGTTTTATACATTTAAAAATGTAGTAAAAAAAATAACTTAATTGGTAACTAAGCACTTCACAAACTATTCATGTTAATTTAATATTCACTAACTGTCTCACAGTCTGTAAAGGTCATATATTTGGTCTGTGTTTGTTGTGTAGACTTCTACTATTTGCACATCTTAACAAATCATTTATTATAATTTTTTTTCATGTTTTTGAAGTACCCATTCTAAAGTGGAAACTATTCATCATTTGTAAATGTTTATAAATGTTTATTAATCATTAGTACCTTTATGAGCAGTCATCTCAATGGAAAAAAAGTGTCCCGAATAATCTGAATTCACCCAATTTACACATCATTGCAAATCATTTATTAATCATTTGTTCATGTTTTTTTTTTTTAACAAAAGATGGGGTGGTATACTTTACCGCTCCAACACATGGCACTTTAGCCACTTGCCGCAGACGAGACAGACATGCTCTCCGACACCATCCCACCCTGTTGATGTTGGCATGAACATGCTGTCACGGAGCCTGAGCCCCACAGGAAAGTCCAATATTTAAACTTTTCACTGCTGGTTTGCTGCATTATGGCTAAGAGTGTCAGCTTTGTTGAAGAGTTGACAACCAGACGGAGAAAATTCTGTGGCAGACTTTTCCACAGACCAGCTCAGATCTGCCATTTGTTGTGAGTGGGAGTACAATTTTTTTAAATTTAGTGCAGAGCAAAAGCTGCCCGCTCAGGTTATGCAATACACCAGATCTGTCACTGGGGTGAGATGTGGAATATGGGTTAGTGGATTTCAGGTCAACTAAATTCAGTTTTGTGTTGCTGCCCAGAGCAGCAAGTCAATGTTAAATAAAAATAATGTGACCCTGGACCAGAAAACCAGTCATAAGGGTCAATTTTTCGAAATTGAGATTTATACATCATCTGAAAGCTGAATAAATAAGCTTTCCATTGATGTATGGTTTGTTAGGATAGGACAATATTTGGCCGGGATACAACTATTTGAAAATCTGGAATCTGAGGGTGCAAAAAAATCAAAATAAAAAAAAAAAAAGCATTCTGAAATTGATTTCAACAATATTGTTACTCTGTGTCATTATCATTAGCTGTGGTGTGGACATCCCGCATTCTCATAGAATTAGAACGATTATTAAAATTAATAATTAAACATAGCTAATGCTTTGTTCTTTTTGTCTGTCCATTTCAAATGTTTGAGCAAAAAGTTATGTTTGTGATGTTATGATTTGTAAGCTGTCAAATACTCGTGTGATGTATTGTCATTAAAAATGAAAACATTTCAAATGAATTTAGGACAAGCACCAAGTCTACTGAGAGATGAAGACCAAATGTGAGCCCTGCAGACACATTTCAATTATTTAGATTCAAAACACTCACTGCTGCCAGACATTTAATAACAGCCTGGCTACTGATGGAAAGATGTTTTGATCAATGACCATAAAAATTAAGAATTTCATAAAAACACAAGCCTTGCTCTCAAACACACTTCTAACTCAAGTCATTAGTCAAAGTAAAAGGAGGACAAAAGAAATAAAAATGTAAGTGATATAACTGCAATCCTTACTGAGGATGCACGACTGATCCACCTCAAATTCACTGACACAAAGTAGTCACATAAAACAAGACAGAAAATCCATACTTACTGAATCTTTTCAGAATATCAAATTGCTTTATGTCTTTTTGTATATTTGTTTACAGTTGAAAAAACCCGAAAAATAGAAACATATTGATTTCAGGTTAGTGTTGACGGGACCTCAAAACACAAAATAGTCTTGTCAATAATTGACTGAAAAATCTATTACACAGTGTTTCACATTGATTTTTTATCCTCCATTTTGGCTTTTTGTCTCAAATACACGTGCAACAATTCTCAATCGCATGTCGCTAAATTATTCAAATAAATTTAGAAAATAACAATGCACTGTTCAAATAATTAGTAACTACACTACACTGTCTAGAAATGTTTCAGTTTGCTTATTTAAGTTCCCTTAATAAATTCTTGTCTATTACAGAATGACAACTACAGCAAATTAATAATTAATACAGAAATTTTCCTTTTTTAATATATAGCTCGTTCCATGTGGTGCAACAATTGTAAAGTTTTGTAAGGTTTAATTGTAAATTGTAAAAATGACTGCAAATTTGCACTCTCGCCCCCATGAAAACCTAAGGAAAGTCTTGAACATGAAATGTTCTGCATGCACACTGTACTAAAAATAAATAAATAAATACACATATGGCTGAGACTCAAATCTTTCCTATTATAAACTGCCACAAAAGTAGGGATGGGCATTTTTCAGAAATATTGCATTCGAATATTTGAGTTCATAAAAAAAAACAATATTCGAATATCTATTCAAATGAAAATTAAAGAGAAAGATGTTAATTTTTTTTAACTAAACATTTTTGTGGTGGTACAAACCTACAGTATGTTGGACACTAAGTTACAGAAACCACAATAGTACAGATACCATCTTTAGACCCAACAGAAGACTCTAGTCACAGTCGTGGGCACAGTCTAGGGGCAGTCATGGTCTAATGGTTAGAAAGTCAGACTTGTAACCCAAAGGTTGTGGGTCTGAGTCTCAGGTAGGGCTGTGCGATTTGGAGAAAATATGTAATTGCGATTTTTTTTGACAGATATTGCGATTGCGATTTGATTTGCGATTTTAATTTTGCAAAGTCAAGCTTCAGCTTAATATTGTTAATACTGTTCAGCACAGTATGGGTATTGTGCTGGAAAAAAAAACAATAGAAACCACCATAGAAATTCTTATGGTTTCCATTAGTTTCCATTCCATTAAAAACTTGCACTTGCACTCTCAGTGTTACGGGGCTGACGAGACGTGAGACGTGCGGATTCAATTGCAAGCTATTTATTAGGAGATGTAGCTATCGCTAGGGGAGTGATAATCGCTAAACAATACTCGGCAGGGGAATGGGATCAGAGTGAGAGTTAAACAGGGGATGTGTGAGTGATAACAGCTGTGTGCAATCAGTGCTGTGTGCAATCAACTGTGTGTGTGTCATTAGTGCAGTGGATGATGGGATATGTAGTCCGGGGTGATATGCAACAGTGTGTAGTGCGAGAGTCAATGAAATGGGAAGGGTGACCTCTGATGGCTAGCAGACGGAAGTTCATGGACCGGATACGTGACACTAATAATGAGTCATTAGTTTGAATTGGTCTAATGACTCACTCACTGAATCTTCTTAATGAACCACAAGTAAATCAAAGTATTCACATGTTTGCTTCCAACAAAGTACTAAAATAATTTTAAATGGACAGGACTTGTTAAAATCGATAAGCTTATATTATTATATACTGCAATTATATTTATCCATTAGAATTATATATTTTAAAATTCTTATTCTGTTCTGATACGGTTAAATTTAAAGGATTTGTAGTAAAGTGAGGGGAACTAAAATATCCTATAGTGTTCATAATGTTGGTACATTATAACATTATTAGGCCTGCCGTTATTATTTCTGAATATGCAACTTATACGAGACGTATCTTTTTTTATTTTCCTTAAAAAGTTATTAAATTGTACAGGCTATATATCAGATTATTTTATTTACAAGTTTCATGTTTGTGTTTATCCCGTTTTTCCCCCCTGTTGCATCTGAAAATTACTTTCAGAAACATTTTTTTTTTCAAAACAGCTGAGAAAGAAATCGGATGTGATGTGTATCATAATATTGGATCCGTGCATCAGGTCTTAAAGGGATAGCGGCCTATAAATACTGCTGCTGTCATTAATGATCATCAAACAACAAAACAGCTGTGATAAAAATCTATATTTAATTTATACAGTGAACACTATGCAGTTTTATTTTCCCTAATTATTACATTTCTGTATTTGAATACCAACCTTATTTTATTTGTAACATATTCCGTTGTATTTATCTATGCTTGTAATTTGTGTATTTGTTCTTACAGACCAATTTGGAGTAGACGTCACAGTTGCGTCACTTGCAGCTGCGCGCACATAGTGGTGGCAGAAAAACACTGGGATTAAAACAATTACAAAATTCCTTTTTGTAGTGTGTTTTGGGCATTATTCCAATAGGAATTACTGTTGTTCTATTGCTTCCCATCTGCTAGATTACGTTGAACCACTAGAATCCATCAAATACCAGTAGACACCATTATAGTTTACATTAAAGCCAATATAATTCCCATTATAACCCTTAAATCCATTAAATTTTCTATTGTGTTTTGGGAGGGGTTCTATTGTTTGTTTTTTCCCTCAGGGAATATTATAATGGTATTACTACTTTTACAGAATTTTCTTAATTACTGAATTTCACAGGAAAGATTAGTTTATTTTGTGTAAAAAAAGAACTGTATTACTTTAGTCGATTATTAACTTTTTTTTTTTAATGGTGGGCGTTTACGCAGTTGGCTAGAGCAGTGCTGATTGGGGAGAACGGAGGTGCGCTCACTCTATTGGTTAGTAAGGCTGCCACTCAAGGCTGGCAATCATGCATATGCTCTGGAAAAGAGTAATATCGCGTCCACATCGCAGGCTTTGCGATTAGAAAACAGCAACGTCTCAAATCGCGATTGCGATTCAATTTCGATTCATCGCACAGCCCTAGTCTCAGGTCTGGCAGGAATTGTCGGTGGGGGGAGTGAATAACCAGCGCTCTTTTCCACCTTCAATACCACGACTGAGGTGAGACCCTTGAGCAAGGTAACGAACCCCCAACTGCTCCCCGGGCACCATAGCAATATGGCTGCCCACTGCTCCGGGTGAGTGTGCACTTGGATGGGTTAAATACAGAGCACAAATTCTGAGTATGGGTCACCATACTTGGCCACACATCACTTCACTTTCACACTTTTCACTTTCAAGTGAAATTATGGCACCTTTAGATGAAAGCCCTTTTAGGGAAGTCAGAAGATTGAATGAGAGTTTGCTGGGGCCTAAGTCTGCAGTGTGTCCAGAATGTGTGGACCATGTATGAGACATCCAAAACAGCACAGGTCATCAAAGAAATGGACAGATATAATCTGGACATACTAGACATAAGTGAGAGCAGATGGACTGGTTCAAGTCGCAGGGTAACAAGTGAAGTATCCTCGATCCTCTTTGGCAAAGATGACCATCATTCAAGTGGTGTAGCCCTAATTATAAAGAAATGTATTAAAAAGAAATGTAGCTAAATGTCTGCTAGAGTGAGAACCCATCAGTGATCACTTAATCAGAGCTTAGATTCAACTCCAAGTATTGTCAATTTTGCATACTGCAGTGCTATTCTCCTACCAATGAGGCAACAGACGAGGACAAAGATGAATGGTATAAGCAACTACAACAGGCCGTTAGTACTGTCCCACAGCATGATTTGCTCTTGATGATGTTCACCAAGAGAGCTTATGGAAGTGATACTAAGAGCCTATGGAATACCACCCAATATCGTACTACTTATTGGGAAGTTCTAGGAACACTATGAGTGCTCCATTATCATTGATGGTTCACTGACAGAGTTCTTTGAAGTCAGGTCTGGTGTATGGCAGGGCTGTATTCTTTCACCTCTTCTATTCCTGATCACCCTTGACTGGGTTATGTGTCAAACAACATTCATCCATGCCCGTGGCATTCAATGGACTCCCTTCTTTCATTTGGAAGACCTCAAATTCACCAATGACCTGCCAATAATATCAGTCACACACACCCACATTCAGGAAAAAACAGATAGACTGAGCAGATATGTTAAACAGACCGGCTTACACATAAACAAGCAAAAGAAGCAGGTCATGCGTATCAATGCTCCCGTCTCTGACCCAGTTACCATTGAGGGAGAGTCAATCGAGGATGTGAATGATTTCACGTATCTTGGTAGCATCATTAGCATTGATAACGAAGCCCAAAAAGACATCAAGGCCTGAATAAATAAAGCAAGAGGAGCTTTAAGCAGACTCAGATCAATCTGGAAGTCTAAACAGCTAAGCCTTAGAACAAAGATCAAGCTTTACCTCCGCTATGTTAAATCAGTGCTTCTGTATGGCTCTGATTGTTGGAGAACAGTGAAAGAATGCATGATCAAGGTAGATGCCTTCTATAGCAGTTGCCTTAGAAAGATCTGCAACATCTACTGGCCCAATACCATCTCTAATGTCAACCTGTACAAAAAGACAATATCAAAGAACATATCTCAGGAGATCAAGATACGCTGATTAAGATGATTCGGACATGTACTTAGAATGCCTCAGGAAAGGATACCTAAAGTGGCTTTGGGTTGGACACCACCTGGCAAGCTCAAACAAGAACAACATGGTGAAGGACAGTGGTGACGGAGCTGGAAGAAACTGGGCTCTCATGGGGAGAAGCACAGTCCACAGCTCAGGACAGACCCAGATGGAGAGAGTAAGTTGCGGCCTTATGTCTCACATGGGACGAAGAGGATTAAATAAGTAAGTAAGTTATCAGGCTATATTCACAACAAGCTTATATATTACATCCTGTGTTATTTTTTAATGTAAAACATTAAACAATGAGTGCAACAAAAAAAAATTACACAAAAAAGCATTTAACGCAGAGCAAATGACAAAAGACGACTATAAAGCATGTGCATATACACTTGAGCTGGCATATGGTTATTGTGTTTGCATTGTTTCACATGTTCTTGTTGAAAAAAAAACATGTACATCAACATGATCGGAAGAAAGTCAGCTTCTCATGCTGTGTGTCCGCCAAAGCATTTTTTAGCCTAGCTGCTAGCCTTATGACTTGCTGTCTGTCTTGAAGTCGCTATGGTGTTCACACTACGTGACACTGTGTAAATGATCCGCAACAGGGGGTCACACACTACACGAGCTGACAACAACTTTGTCAACCAATGACTCAATCCAGCCCCCAAAACACATTTTGTCACAAAAACACACACAAGAAATGACACGAAATGATGTGTGAAACAGGAGTTGTTTATTTGAAAATGGCCGTTGGGAAGAAATTAGCGCTGCAATCTGTTTGCGTGATGATCTGTTCTGAAAAAGCTTGCTCCATTTCTTGTGTCCACACTTTTCTTAAAGCAATGTTGCTGCTGCTGTTTTTCTTCTGGTGACCTCAACCCATGCATTGCTCTCTCTCATTGGCTGTAGCTCGTTGCAACACCTGACACCACATAATGTTTAGTTGGCTGGCTGGTCCAGATATTTAGCATGCTAGATATTTGTCTGGCATTGACGAGGCATCAGCGAGCCTCTTTGATGCGTCGTTGAGTGGTTCACACAAAGATTGCCGAGTGCTGATCACCCGCTGATTTGCCCCCGATCACAGCCCGACATGTCGGCGAGCTCATTGACTTGCAATTTCGGACATAAATCGGGCTTAAAATTCTGTAGTGTGAACTTGGCATAACTTGACATGGCGTCTTAAAACCCTCGGCACTCACGTGCGAGACGCTGCAAAAGATGCAAGACACAAGCGCAACGGTCAGACACAGCGTCTTGCCCGTTTACATAGAAAAACAATGGAAAAGTAGTGCATTGGAATAGAAAAAAGCGGTTTGTGTGAATGGCCCCTTAGTTTGTTAAAGGGGTCCATCGTGACGTAGACATGTGGGGGCATGTTAGAACGAGCCGTTTTAGGTAGGCGTGGTTGACTCTTAACTTTTATAAAGAATATCTCTTTGGATTTGAGACTTTAGTCTTTGCAACTTTACAGATCTTCTTTATGCACCAAGAGCTTGTAACACCCCAGGAAAAATTTTTATTGCATCATATGACCCCTTTAACAATAAAGGCGGCTGCAGAGAAAACGAGTGGTTTTCTCGGTTCTCTCAGGGGTACATCTGTGCCTATCTGCAGTAGTGAATGCAGTGATGGGCAGCTGTCTTTCTTCATTCGACTGGTCAATAATGACATTTCGGTATTTGGATTTCATATGATTCCTCATTTGTGGTGATAAGTCGGTTTTACTTGACAAAGTTTGCACACAACAAACTCGGTCCTGGGGTGCCGGTGTCCTGCAGAGTTTAGCTCCAACTTGCCTCAACACACCTGCCTGGAAGTTTCAAGTATACCTAGTAAGACCTTGATTAGCTGGTTCAAGTGCGTTTGATTAGGGTTAGAGCAAAACTCTGCAGGACACCGGCCCTCCAGGACCGAGGTTGGTGACCCCTGACCTGATCACTATCAATATTAAAATGAAAAATCTCTAGCAATCTCTGTTGGTCCACTTGAGAAGGATCGACCCATATACGGCGTCATAATATATGACCCTGGACCACAAAACCAGTCATAAGTTGCACAGGTATATTTGTAGCAATAGCCAACAATACATTGTATGGGTCAAAATTATTGATTTTTCTTTTATGCCAAAAATCATTAGGATATTAAGTAAAGATCATGTTCCATGAAGATATTTTGTAAATTTCCTACCGCAAATATATCAAAAATGTATTATCATTAGTAATATGCGTTGCTAAGGACTTCATTTGGACAACTTTAAAGGTGATTTTCTCAATATTTAGATTTTTTTGCACCCTCAGATTCCAGATTTTTAAATAGTTGTATCTCGGCCAAATATTGTCCTATCTTAACAAACCATACGTCAATGGAAAGCTTATTTATTCAGCTTTCAGAGGATGCATACTATTCTATAATATTTCAAAAAAATTGACCCTTATGACTGGTTTTGTGGTCCAGGGTCATATGAAGTAAGACAAATTCACAAATGTGATTAAAGTAAAAAGAAGAGCACAACACCACACGTCAAATAACTAATAGCATAATTACAGCCAGCAAACAGCAGACAGTAGACATATATCAATAGCCACATAATAATTCCTGCTGCAAAGCCTGCTGGGAAATCACTCACCTTTAACAAGTCGGCAACATTGTTCAGTAAGGAACTGTTTGTTCTGGGGACAACATCTGGTGGAATATTGTTATCTATGCTTTTATAGGTTCCAAGTACATCACATTTCTTACTATCTGTGACTCACAGCTCCTTATGCTGGATGAAATGTAATTGCTATTTTACAATGTACAAATACAGCTACCAGGCAAAAACAAGGATTAATCTGTCTCTTCAACAGCTGATATCAGCACCTGAAGATTCCTCCTACACCTCACACATTAAATATCCCTCCTATACAGGCTGGCCTAAAGCTTGACATGCGGAACACGAAACAGCAAGGTGGGCATCTCTCTAACCCTTTGTGTTCTTCACTCTGTCCCTCTCTCTCTAAGCAAGAACAACCACCAAGAGGATGTACCCATGACGAGACAAGACTGACAGGAAATCGCCCCCGAATATTGGAGTCATGTGCTGGGATGATTCCATGGCATATCAGTGTCTGTTATGGATAGAAATCCCTACACCTGCACCATATTCATTGTACTCGTACTGTAATTGATTTCGATTTTAGAAATATATATATATATATATATATATATCTATAAACAAACACTATTTTATTCCTAGGAAATTAGATTTTTATTTTTTATTTGTCTTTTTTTTTTTTTCTCAGCTGGAGATTGTGTAATTGCTTTGTACAAGAAACACTTCTGATGAACAGAGAGGTACATTATTGTTCAACCCACATTTCCCCAGACATTGTCATTGGTCTCATATCTCAGAAACACACATTGAATTTTTCTCATATGACAAGACTCCCTCGGAAAAACATGTGCTGTCATAAGCATTGTAGTGAAACAGGGCATCTCGCCAGCCTCCGAGGTTAATCACAAATGGCCTTGTGATTATATGCCTTCATTTGTTTTAGTTGTTTGCACAGTGAAACAATGTTGAATTAAGTCAAAAGTCAAATGTAAACAGCCTGAACAAAACTCTCTTCTAACAGATGTCTTCAGAGATGTCATTAGGCAGATATTTATTTTCCCTCGGAGGTCACAGCTAAATGAGCCAAATAATTGTGGCAATGGTCCTTGAAAAGGAGCAGAATTCCAATTGTGCTCCAGTGCATTGAGGCTAACAATCACTTGAGTTTTATCATCAACTGCTGATCAACATAAGGTAAAGGTTGTTCAAGCAAAAAAAAAAAAAAATCATTAATTTGCTTCACTGTGCATGATTATTTGAGTGCCAACATGGCCAACAGATGCGAAGATAAATTTCAATTTGAAAAATCCCACCCACCAATTTGTTTTCATCTAGGATTTGTTTTCCCCAGTGAAATATCCACCAAATACCTGAACACCCTGGCAATCTAAAGGAGTCTTCCCATTTACATATCTTATTTCTCTAAGAGTAAAAGCACACCATTTACCACAGATGAAAATAGTTCAGTGTGAGATGATTTGGAAATGCAATTCCCTTCCTGGATATTTCTGTGATTATGTTCAGCAAAATTCAATGCCGCATTACTGGTATATTTGACTTTAATGTCTGCAAATGTGCAGTCTGAGTATTTTAAGGGCCCTGCCACCACCACAACAATCTTATGAGTTATCTGAATCTCTAAAACACATTTTCCCAAAGGGATTCTTGAATTTGAATGACAGAGAAGACAGTTCCTAGAAAGTGCACTCTGTTTACAATAGCAAAACAATACATTTCTTGGCATTAGGAAGGAAGAAGCTCACGGAAGGAAAATTACATCACTGCTTCTGTCATCCTCTAGTAACTAATGTTTACATGCAGTCATTATATAGCCATGTACACTGAATATGATTGTAACTCATCCTGAAATCCATTTTGTTCACACACACTGATGATCATGTTTTCATATAATCTGTGTAGTGTGCACAGAACAGAACTGTCATTAATAAGACGATTTTTAAAACATACACAATAAACATGCAGAATTTCAGCCATAATTTTGCAGGCAAAAAAGGTCAATGTCAATAGTGTAGCAATGAATGAATTCAAATTGAACCCGATGCAAAATCTTTGCGGATAAATCTTTCGCCCTCATGCAAAATTTCCAAGCGCCTGGATTTCTATTGAAATAACTGGATTTTGCCCTCTACAATTCGCTATGTGTGACTGACTAATGCTGCTTTCCATTTATACTCAGAGGTTGGAAATTCCAAGTTCCCAGTAGGACTGTACGTGGAACCCCCTCCCAAGTTGGAGTTCCAACTCAGAATCTCGAGGGAATCGCAATAAATCGAATTTCAAAATTCAATATGGCTACTCAGAGCATCAACAGAAGAGAAACAGTAGTAGTAATATATTGTTTATTAGCACTTATGTTTATCTGTGTCTCAATAAACTCAGTGGTGCACACAGTACTATCCAACCTCTGTTTGTGGAGATGATACTATATGTACATTTTATAAACTTAATGTGTAATGTTTTTAAGTTTGACTCGAGGTAGCTCCACACTATGCTTGTTGGAGGCAGTGACGTCAAATGATGTGTCTCACTGAAGTCGGGGTTGATCGATCTGCCCCGAGTTCACAGGTCGGATGTCCAACTTCAAGCAGAGTTCTAGACGTTATTTCCAAGGATGTGGGAAAAATCTGAATTTCGAGTTGTCTGGAATGCAACAATAGTGTGGGGCTACCTTATGTCAAACTTAAAAACATTAGAGACATTAAGTTTATAAAATGATACCTTAATTTTTGCTTTTCGTCAGTTGTTTTCAAAACTAACAGCAGCATTTTATGTGAATTTTTTTCTGTTTTTGCCACAATTGACACAAAAACAAAAAATGCTCTCTTTGTGTCATGGCGACATTATAGTGTTCACTATCTAGCAATGTGTTTATGCTGACATATTAAAAAAACAATAACAAAAAAAACAACAACAAAAAAACAACGGTTTGTCTTTTCAAATCTTCTATCAGGTGTCATTATACTTATTGGCTCATGTTGACTCATGCATTTTATGTTTTGTGCTTACGAAATGTGACGGAATTTAGAGTAAGGGTGACATAATTGAGGAGCATTGTGGGATTTTTCAGGGAGCAAACGTTCCAGTGTCCTGTAAGGATTTTGCAATCAAGACAGCCCTTAAAATTACTCCCTGACCAGTGCTCATGATGACTACTGAATTAGGCAGCTTATTGAGAAGCACCAAAGTCCCTTTAAGGCAGGGGTGCCCAAACTCGGTCCTGGAGGGCCGGTGTCCTGCAGAATTTAGCTCCAACCCCAATCAGACACACCTGAACCAGCTAATCAAGCTCTTACTAGTCATACTAGAAACTTCCAGGCAGGTGTGTTGAGGCAAGTTGGAGCTAAACTCTGCAGGACACCGGCCCTCCAGGACTGAGTTTGGGCACCCCTGCTTTAAGGCATAGGTATTCTATAGTCTTTGGAAGCACCTATTGTCTGCAATATACCCAAGGAAGCTTAGCTTATGAACCCTTTTCACAAGACTGTGATGACGCGTTTTAACGGTCATCAGCATCGTAAATCACCCAAAGTTTTTTGTATTTTCATTTTTTTTAATGTATGTACATTTATAACACAATACTTTGTATTATATTAACTTTCCATCAAATTACAAAAAACTAGTTAACGCTAATGCGAGGGTGTCTCTGTCTATGGGAGTGGCCGTAAATTAGACATCGTTCTCTCTACTGACTGCTGTTATCAGTCTCTCTCTCTCTATTTTTTTTTTTTTAAGTCATGAAAATACTATCATTAAGTTTGTCTTTTGCTATTTGAGCAAATGGGAATGCAAAACATTTATCTGTGGTAGTTTCCCATTCACTGCTATAGAAGTTTACCCATGACGACTTCTGCTGCTGACAAACCCGGAAATGTGAAAAAGGTTCATAGCTAAGATTTATTTATTTAGTTAGTTAATTACATAGAAAAAAAAAAACTAGAAAAAAAAAAACTAGAAAAAAAAAACATTAACAGTAGCTTTAGGTTCTGCTGTTCGGCTACTTCTGTTGTATCTGCCCCCTTTTTTTTTTTTTTTTGCTGGAGTATGTCCAGACCTCTCTACTTTTTTAGTATTTCTCAGCACAACATCTTTCATTCTTAAATGCAAAAACATATTCTGCGTGAACGGCCCCTAAAACATGTAAAAACAGCAATGGCTCATTACTGAAAGGCTCCGTTTATAAAAAAATACCCGTGTACGTGTGGACATGGCC